TATACTAGGTTAACTATAAATCATTATCAACTGTGTCAACTTTCCGTGAATTGCTTAACTTCAGAATTTCATCCATACATCCATTATGATTATTTTAAGTTTGGAGAGTAGGTCGTTTATAGGAGAAGAACAAATTTGTGTTATTCAAAGATATTCAGCACAGAGTGAAAGAAAGGTATTTAACATATTATCAATAATCATCACTGACCTTCGGTTTTAATTATCCATTTTTTTTCTTCATTTTTACGCACACTTTTTAATTGATTCAACTTGAAATGGTTTGATTCATCTTGTTGTTGATATTTTCACTGGAATTTCATCAATCTTGGTTGGCATCTCAATTAGGACGAAACATGAGTTCTGGATGCCGCTACTACCTATATTCTATCTATTCTAGGTAATTCCTATTACTCTACTAATTTATTTTTTCAACCAAATCGTATGATTTAAATATCTATCATGAAAACATAAAGAATTGCGAAGTGTTTCTCTTTTTTTTACAATTAGATAAGATTTGATAATAATAATAATAACCTTTTAAATAGTTGACTTGTTTTTTTTTTCATCAAATAAGGTTCATTTCATTAAGAGACAAAAATTCATTGTTTCTTGTCTGAAGTTATGATACCTTATTCGTGATGTAGTGAGGTGAATATCTTTTCGTTAAAAACGCACTTAAAAGAATAACTTAGTATTTTGGCTTTCTAGAAATTCGTAATTTTAGACTTCAGTACGAATGCTACGTAACCCAATACACCACGATGTCACACTAACCAATAGATAAAAGATGGCATTTTTACAAGTCACCTAGTCTTTTCCTCTGACATCCATAGCGTTAGGATGGCTCCCAGAACCCCCAAGAAGTCGAAGACAAGTAACAACCACTTAACAAAACAACTTTCTGTACTAATAACGTTAAAGTGTAATTGAGTCATGATAATAGGAAACTAAAAACAGTTATTGGTACATGATTCAATACAAAAAAATTAATGTTAATACTGATTCTCCACCTTTTTTCTGGAGATTAGAAGCAATTGAAAATAACAATTTAAGAACTATCTACCATACCAATCGAATATAAAAAAATATTAACTTCAAGAATAATTTCTCTGGCCTTATCCATAAATAGTGAAACGTTAAGAATGATTTGGAAATTCTTTTGACGATTTGATCACTGACTGAGATAGATAAAATAATAAATAAATCATAAAAACATATTCACTTTTTTATTCAACTGATATTGCATAACTTACCCTTTGAGAGTTGATGATTCTGGTATATTTGGCATTTGATTGCGATTTCTCATTATAGCTTAGTCTCTTCAGAAACCATACAGGAAGCTAGACATTTCTCAAAAAATTTAAGTAGAAGGCAACCCTTGTTATGCCGACACTCGAGCAAATCGAAATGTTTCGACTCAAATGAATGGTTTAATGAAGATTTCGTTATCCTAAACAAAATTCTAAACACGAGCTTCAAAAAAGAATATTGTAATTCTGATATTGTACATGGACAGTGTGTCTTGTCTATTTGACAGAGGGAACATGGATGGTCATCTTTAATTTATTTACGTTAACTATCATGGAATAGATTTGTCCATATGTCTATGCATGTAAACGATTTTAAAAATGATTTCAACTGGGAGATAGAAATGAAAGACAATTATCACGTGCATCTTAGTGAGATCATACATCCAAAATAGTAAACACAATGAGATGGACAAAATCTAGTACTCAACTTAAATAAATAATATTAACTAATTAACGGTACAGTGATCAACAGAAAGAAACATAATCAAATTATATTAACAAGCGCTCATGGAATTTAATAATAACAATCCATCATATCCGTTCCAATAACACAAGTCATATGAAAATTCTAATAGTTTACTTTTGATCGATCTGGCTATCTACCTCGATTCATCGATAGAAACTTGACATTGAAATTACGATCTGAAAAATCATCGACGGTCATAGAAAACTTTCTGCAGCTTTGAATGAAAAGTAGATACTGTTGCGAATTTGGAAATCCCTGGGAAAAATCTATAGCTAAACAAGACTTTATATAGGGCCAGCCCATCATACGTTAAAGATAGACAACTTTCACAGGATTCATATAAATACAACTGGACAGCTTCAATAAGTGATTTTGTTAGAAAAAAGAAAATTTTTCTTGCTGAACTATTTTCATTCAAAGTAATGACAACCGATCTTCACTAGAAAAACTAATTGATTTCACAGAGATTCTGAGAAAATCATATCGATGGAAAATTGCATTTTAAAATTAATAAGTTGCTTTGCAATAGACAAAATGAATTGCCTTTATTTCTTTTCATAATATTTCTTATTTGTTTTTTTCATTTGAAGTTGATAATTTTTGACTGGAACTCAATTAGTCTTAATCATCAACAACGGGATATTCCAAAGCATTACAAACTGAATTAAATGCCATATCCGTTGCACGAGTGGGTGGAAATCAGTACTCAGTAGCTAAGTCGATAACGCGATAGCATTTGAAGCAAACGGTACTGGGTTCCAGTCCCAGGGTGAACATCAACTACGTGATGCAGGTACATTCAGCTGACGAATCCCAAACAGACTGGAGCGCACGTTCTGGATTTCACTGATAGCCTAGTTCCATAAAAATTCAACACGATTCTCGTCAACATGAAATATGTTTGTTTATTCTGTGTATTGAAGAAAACAGCACTAAGCTATCTTGTTATAAATTAATGATTGATATTGTCAAAAATGCGTCGGACGACTATCTATCTATAAGAATCAAAACTAAAATGTAACACTTAACTGCTTTACACAACATAAATTTTAACTGAAACTTTGACCTGAACAGTATACGAATGCGATTCCACATCTCTCTAAAAAAATAATATCATACCTAGTATGAATAAATTTCCGCCTAAATAATGCTTTGATCAGAGATTAACAGTTTCCAGTTTTAGGAGAGGTAGATTACTACATCCAGTTTGTAATTGATTGATATTCCTATATCACAACATATAAGGAACAGTTAAACAGAACAAGAAAAGAATATCCACTAACTAAAAAAATATAAATTGAAACAGATACAGACACGATGGTAGTAAATTAACATCAGGGATACATTTTTTTATTGATTAAAGCAATAGAAACATCGCACAATAAAAGATTGATTGATTTCTTCTAAATCCATCACTAGTATCGATAACTTCGTAATAACTACGACATATCGTTATGTGAGAATCCAATGTTTACGGCGTAGGCGAGATATCTGTTTGCTGACTAAAGGACGAATGTACTGCGCAGTAGATCGCTCCGTTCTCCTATACGGTTATGAAACATGGCCGGTACGAATAGTAGATATTCATAGGTTACTAGTATTTGATCATAGATGTCTTAGAAGCATTGCTCGTGTATCCTGGGACAACCGAGTGAGCAACGCTGTTATTAGGAATCGGGTGCTAGGTAAGAATGGAAGACCAATAGATGAAGTAATGAAACTTCATCAGTTGAGGTGGTTAGGACATGTGCTGCGTATGCCTAACCACCGACTGCCTCGACGAGCTATGTTTCTCAGTGTAGGAGTAGGTTGGAAGTAAAGTAGGGGTGGCCAAACCAAAACACGGCAGAAATCCATGAAGTCACTTACAAGTGGATTGAGTCATGTTGGTAGATGTAGACTACCTGGTTGGGGTCCGCGAGACGAAAGTCACCAATGGTTAGAGACCTTGAACGACATGGCTCAAAGTCGTTTGCAATGGCGCCGGTGCATCCACTCTCTGTGTTCTCTCAAATCCTAATCCTCTGGATTCGTCAACACCTCTACCTTTGTCTTTCTAAACTTATCTCACTGAGTTATACTTCTTGAATAATATCATCTAATCCTAACCTCTCCGATTACATCTAATACCTTTACTACCTCTACTACTATGGGATTCGAATTGACAATTGCGTCTCTGTGCTAATGTGGTATGGCAACATGAACTGATGTACTTACGTACGAAGTTCTACGTTGCAGCTGACTGACTGAATGTCTATTAGGTGATAATCAAAATAGACAATAAACAATACCGGTTATTCAATCATAATCTTCATGTTCAACATTCTCTGTATCATCATTATTATTCGTTCTTATTAATGTTAACACGGAACGTCATCTAGAAGTACCTGTGATGATATTTTAACTTTCTTTCAAAAAAATCAACAAGAACAACAACAGCGAGAATAAAGAATTACTTATTTGTATGAAAGAAATAATAATCATATCTTGTTTTAAAATGTTCGATTGACACTTATCCACACACACACACACACACACACATGTACGTATGTCATAGTGAATAACTCTGGATTAATTTTCTCTTCTGGTAACAATAGAATAAGACAATGAGAAATTGTTACACATTCAAATGAATAAATAATATATAAGAAAAACAAACTACCAACACATTCATTATCAAATGGTAACAAGAAAATAAAACACAACAAACGAATCTAATCTCATCAAAAAACTCCGCCTCCCCGCCCCAAAAAATTGAACTGTAAATACATGAATAATAAGATTTAAAGTAAATGCACTGTATCAAGTTGTTTTGTTTTGTATTGTTTTTTTTGCAAATCATGTACAAATTCAACTGTATCATAAAAATAATAATAATAATAATAAATAGTATTGTTATTATTATCATTATTATTCTCGTTTAGTCACTACGGTTAGGAACAATAAAATCCCATGAAAATTATGTTACATAAACACATGTGGAAAAGAAAGAAATGAAGAAGTTAAGAAATAGATTTTAAGTTGTGGGTTCTTCTTTTTCAATGCTCTCTCTCTATATATGTATATATATGTATAAACTGCACATTATCATCTAAGAGAATGAATATACCATACATTATTCGGTGAATACAAAGAAACAAAGAACGAAAGAAAGAGAACAAGATATTGAGCATAAAGCATATTTAACATTTACGATATATATATATATATATATATATATATATATATATATATATATATATATAATACAAATAATACTGATTTCCGGTGAAAAATGAAGAGTGTTGCAACAAGATCAAATATACACAATTCATAGTATCATCATCATCATCATCATTAACAACAAGTCAACCATTGAAATTAACCAATGACTGGTGACTAGATGAATGGAACAACAATGTAAGAATATTCATTTTCAACATATTACAAACAAGAAAAAAATTAAACAAAAATAGATCGCGACCGAAGGAATAAACATTCTATTACAAATACACATACATACATAGACACAGACTCTCTCTCACACACACACACACAGGCATACACACAAAGCAGAAGTGTAACACAAGACAGTCGATACACACATACAGAAAAAAAAAACTTTTCGAAAGAACAAAAAAGAAGGAAAAAGAAAATGGAAGAACAAGAAAAAGAAGAAGAAAGAGAGAACAGGTAAGTTTATCGGTTTTGCACTACTCGATTTGAACAAGTCAGACGATGTGAATCAATCAACTCTTGAATTTTACCAATCCTATGGAGAAGAAGAAGAAGAAAAAAAAAACAAACAAACAAGGAATTGAAAAGAAAAATCAGTTACATTAGATAATTTTAGATAAATTTATTTTCATTTTATACTGACAACGTTTCCCAGTTCAAATAACTTTACAAATGAAAGTACTGCTAATTTCTACGATTCACAATTACCAAAATACCTAAGTCACCTAACTAAGTTGCAACACATCAATGTGATGTTTCAACATTCCTCCAGACTTTAAAGAATCAATAATCAGGTGAGTATGCTTATATTGTTGACAAACTGATAGGATTATTTTTTGTTTACAGTTTACTGAAGTGGAATTTCAGTTTATTCAGAGAGAAAAAAGTTACATTTTGAAAGCATATGCATTAAAATTAATTTTTACCAAGGAAACTATCTAACTTCCTACATCATTCATCCATTAAGAAAAAAACAACTTACAATGTAACTACGGAACACTATCTACACAATCCAACTACTCAAATAATCAATCTCTGAAATTCACATAGATATTATCAGAAATTTACATGCAGAAAGGAACATCAGATTCAAATTGTTAAGACATGTATAAATCTATAGAAACTAAATTGCGCTACATTGGTATAAACAAATTGCCATTTACATTCCATTATCAAAAACTAATCATTAATTGCTGACTAGTAGTATACTGATACACGACAAAGTTGACTTGATCAGTAATTCGATATTGATCGATTCTTAAAAGAATGGTCAGACACCAAGACAATAATAAAAGTACTTTTTTACTATCAATTATAAAAAATTATACAACACGTCACAGACAGTATTGTCTTTCGTAATTTACATCATGAACAGATGTTAGTTAAAAAACTATTGAAAACCAGAGAGAGCACTGTATATCTATTTCAACATAAGACAGATTCTCCAGAAGTATGTATCAAGGAAGTGAACTCTGGGCATTCTAGTGAAAGGCGTGGAGCTCAACTAAATCAGATATAAGACAATTATCCACCAATAGGGCTGGGTGATGGCTGAGAAATGTGCCGAATTTAAGGAAGTTAAACATGTAAACAACTGGATGGTAACTCAATGGATTGTCGGTAAAAACTGACTTCATTAGTCTAGAGGTCAAAAGTGAGTTGTTGAGATCTGTACGTTTTCCGTTCGAACCCTGATCAAGTTGTGGATGCGTCACGGTTTTCATTCTTTAAAATTTGAATTTCGAAGCGAACAACATGCATACTTCAGTTCGGTCGGTCAGTCAGTCAGATGCAACGTAGAACTTCGTACGTACGTTCATCAGTTCGAGTTGCCATACCAAGGTAGCACAGAGATACAACTGTCAATTTATAATCGATAATGGTAGAGGTTGTAAAAGCATGAGCAGTAGTCGGAACGATCATGGTCCGAACATACAATTCAAGTATGATCCAGTGATTTGAGAATATATATATATATATCGACATTTCCAGTTTCATCATCACAGTTTATAGAAACATAACCTAATTTTATTGTTATATTTTAATTGCCTAATACCTTGCATCTCTATAAGTGTGAATCCAATCGATATAGATTTCTCATGAAAATATTTCTTGAATTTAATTATTTTGATAAAAAAATAAACATGAAAATAATGTTGCAAGAAACGAAATCAAGAAGCAGACTTACTTGCAAAGCCAATTTCCCGAAGATAAACTGCCAACAGATTCTTGCAAGTGATGTACAACCATTTCAGTGGTTACTTCTGTTTTGATATGTTTTTCCAGAAATTCTATAATAAGAAAAAAATTAAATTGCCTGAGATCAACATCAAATAATCAAATCAGGCAAAATCACGAATTTGAAAAACCAAATATTAATATATATTTTAATTAGTGATATAAAAGCAAATAAAAACTTTCTCAGTAATGGTGATATTTATTGCAGACATCGTAGTAAGTAGCACTTAACAATTAAATTTATTGAATAATAAGAAATGAGATGAGAAGTTAAAATAACCCAGAAAAAGTAGAGCGAAGAAATGCATGTAAAACTTAAATAAAACAGAATAACACTTTAAATTAAAATAAATAAATGACCCAATTGCATATACATAGAGTAGCATGAACAAAATCAGTTTAGTTAGTTAGCATTACAGAGCTTTGCAAACTACATACAATTACGATTAAATATTTTGAATCAACAAAATATTTGCGTTTTTTACAAGTGCCAACTAGATCTCAAACCAAATCTTATGACTGCTGAGTTAATGAATAACTTGAAAATGTAATCTGTGATCAACAGATTAAAATCTTGGCGGGTTAAATGGATGAGCTTTAGTTCCATTAATAAAATATTCGATCAAAGAACCTCTAAATGAAATTCTGTTCATCTGTGACTAGATCAAGGAGAACTCGAAAATAAATTTACAAGATGGATATTATTTTGATGACGAATATCACTTCGCTTACGAAAGCCACTAGAAGTTGAAAAGGACCTAACAGCTGTTTCGTTTCAATTAGGAACTTCACACTAGTGTGTATTCGTGACCTTACAATGGATAAAATCCTAGTTCAAAAAAGTTCACAATGAGCACAAAATCATTCGGCCACTGAGTCGGAATTTCATTGCTTACATATAACACCATCACTTAATTCGCATTTTGTTGCTAACATCAGTGGATATCTAAATTACACAAAACTGAGTTGATACTTCATATCAAAGGTTCTTTCGAAAAACTGACAGATACATCTTGGAGTAAATGACTGATGATCACTGAATAATTATTTAATTAGGTAGTGATTATTGGTACAGTTCAAAATGACTGAAGTCTAAAAGCGTGGACCAATGGATTCCAACAGAGTGGTTGAACAGTATTAATTAGGTTATGAAATTTCACGATCTTTGATTTGATTACATTACATATGAAGGATACGAATGTGCACCGCTGATAAATTGCACGGCAGAAAGTACTTATTTAGTGTTTCTTCGTTTTAAATGACTTTATGACATAAAACCATATGGAAAAACGAGTTCATCAAAGATGAAATTCTATGAACTGCTAAATCAGATAATAAGGAAGTGAAGTGAACTTTACTGCATCATTGTTTCGTTTCTCCTAGATTTGATTATTATGAATTAACAACTTATGATCAACTGTCTTGAACATCATTACGCGATAGAACTAGTTTCAAATTATACATTCACTGAAAGAAATTAAGATTCATGTTTCTAATTTACATTTCCCTATCAATACCTATATATATATATATACATATATATATATATATATATATATATATATATATATATATATATATATATATATATATATATATATATATATATAATATGTCGGCATGTCGAAAATGTAATAATTAAACTATCTCTCACGATTAAACTCTATTTCCTTGCATAATATCTTGTACTAGTGAAAAGGTTAGAAAAGACGACAAGTCAGACAAAAGCCATCATCTAAAAGATATAGATGTTTATTTACAGTTGTCTATACAAGATAATGAGGAGCCGATGGATAAATACCACCAGCAACAAGCTACTGTGGGAAAGAACGAACCAGATCCCAGCTGAGAAAGAAATCAGGGAAACGTGCTGGATGTGGATAGGATACACAATGTAGAAAGTACCCAACTCTGACACGAGGCAAACCCAAGTTGGAATCCTCAACGTCAAAGGAAAAGAGGAAGACCGAAGAGAACACTGCGCCGAGAATCGAAGACAGATATGAACAAAACAAACAGAAACCGGGAACAACTAAAAAAGTGCCCAAGATAGAGTCCTAGTCGGCTATTTATGCGTCTTTACAAGTAACAGACCTTAGTACTATCATACATAGAATATATTTGTCTAATGGCCCGACCGTAGCTGCGACCTTGAAGTAGGATCACACACACCTAACGTGGTGACCCAACCGAGCTATATTCGCTAGAACATATGTTCCTGTTGGTTCTATCATGCCAGGCAGGTCGACTGCAGAACAGTGAGACTAAGAGCAGCTACTCAGTGTCTGAGGGCGATGTTGTATTACTGACTGTAGAAGGGTGTGACAGCAGCAAGGTGTTTCTCTCGGACAACCAGTATCTGCAGCGATGCCTTCTCACAAGGAAGGAAGGGGTTAGAGAAGGTCGATTCTGAAAATGTCACACCTCACCTTACCTCATGGATTAGAAAAGTTGAACTAACACTTTAAAACATAGTAAAATGGCTGTGCCTGACAGGCCTCAAGCAGTTTTCCTTTGGGCTCTGCAATCACGCTCCTAGGCCGCCCTGACTAACGTTAACCCAATTCCCTTTCCAGGTTCCTCAGGAAGTACCCTTCCACGGTGTGGATAGCCGAAAAGTGACATCTGCCCCCATAACTGTAATAACACACGAGATTGAATCGGTCATAATTGAATCCTTCCTACACCCCTAACATCTCTCTTATCTCCACGACTAACGCTTCTCACACACCTTTATCACCTCACACTGCTAATGCAAAGGATTCTAGTTCACAAAACGTTATTCTTGGTCTCCTGAAACCCCGTTCTAAACTAGAAGTTGGGGCTTTTATATGTTCGAACATTGTGGCAAACAGGACAACATGCTTTCTTAGCTAGAACTCTGGAATTCCGTGTCATCAATGTATATATGAACAAGGAAAAAAAATTAGCATGAACCCGTAGACTGAGATCAACAAAGTCAACGCGACTGATTAGATTTATTATAATACGATTGTAAAGACAAACGGTTGTTATTCATTATATATGAAACCTCGAAAAATTTCAATGCGAGCTTATGTATATAATGTCTTAAATTCAGCTATATAACTTACATAATGAAAAATGAAATAAAGAATTTGCATGAGTAAAGCCGATTATATTGTGAAGAAATAAGCAAGTTGCTAGCAGTCAGTCAGTCAGTCAGATGCAACGTAGAACTTTGTACATAAGTACATCAGTTTATGTTGCCATACCACATCAGCACAGAGAAGTAATCGTCAATTCAAATCCAATAGTAGAAGAGGTAGTAGAGGAATTAAAAGTAATCGGAGAGGTTAGGATTAGAAGATACTATTCAAGAAGTATGATTCAGTGAGAAAAGTTTAGAGAGTCGAAACTAGAGGGGTTGAAGAATCCAGAAGATTAGCATTTGAGAGAACATAGAGAATAAATGCACTGGCGCCATTGCGAACGATTCTGAGCCATGTCATTCAAGGTCTCTAACCATCGATTATTATCATCTCGCGGACCCCAACCAGGTAGTCGACAATTACCGACATGGCTAAGTCCACTAGTCAATGACTTCATGGATTTCTGCCATGTTTTGGTTTGGCCGCCCCTAGCTTTCTTCCAACCTATTCCCACACTACAAAACAAGGCTCGACGAGGCAGCCGGTGGTTGGGCATACGCAAAACATGTCCCAACCACCTCAACTGGTGAAGTTTCAATACTTCATCGATTGATCTGCCATTCTTACCTAGCACCCGATTCCTAATAACAGCGTTGCTCACTCGGGTGTCCCACGATATACGAGCAATGCTTCGAAGACACCTATGATCGAAAACCAGTAACCTACGAATATCTTCTACTCTCATTGGCCATGTTTCACAGCCATAAAGTAAGACGGAGCGAACTACTGCGCAGTACACTCGTCCTTTAGTCAGCAGACGGATATCTCGCCTAGCAATTATAATCAAATAAAATATGCTCAAAGTGCTCTTCATTCGAGGTGCATTTTGCATAATAACTGGACTTGATAAAAGATGAATGTGATATAGATCTTGTGTATGAATAAATTACAATGAATAACTTCGAAATTATATTTTCTCAACAGATCAATTCATGTGAAAAAAAAAACCCATTATTGTCAAACAACATCACAGCAGAAAGTTCCCCAGAGGAGCTACGCAAATTTATTTCCAAATGAATTAATAACAAACAATAAGAAGCATAATAAAATGATCAGTCTACCGGCTTATGATGAACTTGAAAATAAAGCTATCCTTGTTTATTGTTAGATTCAAGAATACTAAATAAAGAAAAACAGACATGTATCCTGCTAAATTCATCTATTTCAATATATACAATCATGAATTTTACCAAGCCAACATGATGTTAACAAGCACTGAAAACTTAGAGGCTCGACGTGTGGTTTGATTACTGACCAATAAAGACAGTTTCAGAACTGTTACATTACACAATAGATAGAAAAATAAACAACATCCAAGAGAATGATCAAAACAGGTAGGTAGAAAACATCTTATTAACCTAGAATCCCATTGAAAATACTTATCAAAATTCATTTAAACAATATCGGTTTAAACGAACCAGTTGTAAGTGGAGAAAAAATGAAGTTGTGTACATCAAAAGATTCCTTCATTTAATAAAACAATTAGTACACCACCATGCCATAATTAATTGGGTAATTCAATAGGCTAAGTACTTCATACGATGATGATAATAACAATAATAATAGTGATAGCGATAATAATAGTTGTATTAGCAAATTAATTACTTATTACTAAAATGATGAGTCAATCATTGTTGGACAACCATTAGAAACCTTGAAGCAGTGGACGGCCGTTTCGTCCCGGTATGGAACTCACTAGCAGTGCGCGTCTACGACTCCTGCTACTCACAGAATTTGAATCCAGGACATTCGGTTTTGCGTCGGAATGCCTAACCTCTGAACCACTGAGCTGGCATCCGAAGTGTTAATGTCTAACTCCGATCAATCTAGGGATTTTGTGCAACCTCACCCATTTGTCTTCTGTAGTTAGTGCCTACACCCAATCGATCACTATCAGAAAAATGCAACGCTATTTAAATTCATTGCAACAGGTCGACTACACTGTAGAAATTAGAAATACTTACGAAAAAAACACAAGACACCAATAAAATTTCTCTAGATAACAGTTATAAGAACTCTGATAATTCCTATTTTCACACAACTTTTAGTTATGAGGTGATGAATAATGAGCACATGTGCACAATCGAATTTCGATTACCAAGTTTTGACTGCTCAACTTGACATTTCAAATAATCACACTTTATCAACAGTTAAATAAACTTGAAAAGAGGATGGATTTGAGAGTAACATTTTCTTAAAAAAGTCAGTTATTCTAAAAGGATAGAATCTGGCATAAATATTGAAAGATCAATAAACAAATAGAAAGAACTCATTCGACATGGTGATAATAATAGTATCAACGCTAGTGCAAAACCAAAATAATGAAATATAGTTCAAAGTAACGAAATTTATGAATATTAAAATTATTGCAAATGCACCAACCAAGGGAGTTCTCATCAAACAAATCCACTTTATAAATTAACTACTCACAGCTGATGAAAGAGTTTCTAATTAGAAGATGAAACAGTGAAAAGTCAAATGAGTTATCTTCGGGAGAATAATCATGACAAAATTGATCTGATAATAGGAAATATGGGGTTCACTGATGGACACTGCTTGAAACAGCTAATTTAAATCAGAGTTGATCAGTAGCTGAACTTACTAGAATGAAGAGTGTCCTATAGATCTATGAGCTTGTTTCATACACATCTCAATAACAAATACTAGTAAAAGTACTCTTTGAATGAGTCAAATGTCAACCATCAGGTGAAATAACAAGTCGTCAATCGAATGTAGGCAAGTCATGTTCAAGTTCCAAAGCACTATGATATAAGTGAGTGAGAGTCAGTCGGTCACCAGAAAGACGACAGTACTGTGAATAATTCTAAAGCATAAATATTAAATATTCATGTACTGAGCAGTAGTTTGGTTTAATCTAGTTAAACAACATTCATCAATAATGTGAATTTTTATATGAGGAGCACGACAGTTGTACAGATATTAAATATAATGCGTGATGAGCATTACTGTAAACTAAAAACATAATTATAAAATAAAATTATCTTCTAAACTAACAGAAATAAAACACTATCGTCTTACCTTTAGTATGTTGTACTAAAACAGATTCTAAATTTTCATCTTCTGTTTTGGAAGTGGGATCTACTCGAGGAGCAGGGTCAAATGCTACTAAAACCATACTCATATTATCAGAACTACCCTTAAATAAGAGAAAGTAAAAAATAAAAGTTGTAAATCAGTGATAAATTAACAGTAAGTTTCACTTTCACTTAGTACACCTTTTTTAAATAATAATAACCTATCCAAAATATTTTATGACTAATCTACTGGGACGTAGTAATAACTAAGATTTGAACTCGTTTCATGATTTTATTCAATGGTGAAGATTACGGCGGCTCAACGCTTAAGGCAGTAAAGTTTAAACCGTTGAATTCTACAGTCAACACTGACGCGCCAGTGGTTGAGTGGTAGAATGCTTGCCTACCAGACGGGAAGTCTGGATTCATCTCCCGACCGACGTACACCGCAACCCCTAAATGCTCTAGTACGGATCGCGAGTGGGAAAACTCCACTGTCCCTCTTCAAACGTTTTACATGGCCAAGTTAGTGAAGTCACTGCCAGGGAAGCTTTACTCACCCCCTCCCTGTAGCGGTGTTGTTTATGAAACTTAAAGGACGAAAAGCGAGTGCCCAGAGATTTAAACTAGGTAATGGGTATGGAGGATCCAACTACGGTGAGTCGGGACCCCCCTTCCAAACCAATGGTGCATATGAGATCCAGGATCCTGTTGGAATGAACGGTATATGAATCTGTTTTGCTTTTATAATCCTGCTTTGAAAAGGTAAATAAAACTACCGATAATAGATTCATGTTCAGCTGAAATTTTGGTCTTTTAGCTGTCTAACGCAAGCTATTCCTACGATTACCTTACACGATTATGTTACAAGCCAAATGAATTACTATCACATGGCTAAGATCAAGCAGACTGTACTATACCCTATTAAACATTTCAGAATTTGCAATTTTACGCACATTTACATCAGAAAGCCCACTTCAATGACCAAACTTAACAGAAAAAACTTACTTTATACAAGCACATATCAATAGTTTCATTGCATATCATTGACAGGTCATCAACGCATCTCATACGATTTTGCAAAAGTAAACAAAGTTCTTCATTAGTCAAAACATCCCAAATGCCATCACAGGCCAACACGATAATTTCATCCAAATCTTTATCACGATCAACAACAGTGATTTCAGGTTCCGGAGATATAAGTTGTTCCGTAGGACCCAAATCTTTGGCAGCTTTAAAGGCATAATCGCCTAATGATCTATTTAAAAAATTAGGCATTAAAGCAGTGATTAAATACAACTCTGAAAATGACAGTATAAAAAGATATACTGGAAACACTAACTAAAGATATTCGTCATCCAATAATGTTTAGTTGTACAATGTAATCCTGTCAAAAAGTGAGTTATATCTACTACATGACAGTTAATAATGACAACTGAATATCGGAAACCTTAATGAACGGAGAAGAGTAGAGTCTCAAATTGTTATCTAAACGATTAGAAATTAAGTGTCCAAAACTTTAGGCTACAACCCAACGCATCTCGTCGAGCAAGAGAGATATACTACTTGTACATTTCCAAAATCACCGTCGGTAGAATCAATCAAAACCCATCTAGTGACTGACGGTGAAATCGTACATGAGTCAATAATATTATTTACTGCGAAAGCAAGTGATGTAGAACTAATTCATAGCTTGACATTTTTAAATTACAAACCAGCTATCACCCGCTAAGCAGTAAGGCCAATTCATTGCAAAAAATAAACATGGATTATATAAAGACATTACTACTAAAACTGACAGTATCGTGAGGGAGATAACCTGAAGCTTTTTTATTTTACTAATAACTTAGACTCTATGCTCGCAAAATAGACCGAATTTGTTAAAAAACAAATTTCTATTTTATCGGGTGACAGTATAATACACCAGACAAGTGACACGTATGATACATCCAGATTCTAAGTACGTGATACAACGTATTAGGTTTTGATTGACTCTTTACTCTAGTAAGATCTAATAATTTACAATCTGCAGTAGTTTTTGGTAGAACAAATAATAAGTAATCTAAATTTTGCTATTAAATTGATTCCTTAATGGGGTAAAATCTCGTATAACCTGCAACTTGAATATTTACTCCATGAAGTTACAAATCAATAGTGTGTAATTATAAGAGAGATTACTGCATCTATTCATAACATATTTGTGATACATTTACTTTATAATGGAAATTGCTAGATTATGTACTGAACTTTAAGATATTTGAAACGATTAACAGTTCTGCATAAACACAAACTTCAGGTAGACGTCTGTGATAATGATGTTCAGAAGAACAATGAAAGCTCCACAACCTAAACATCCAGCTCAGAGAAGGAAACTCCACCACAGATGCCAATTGTTAAGTAGCGTCAGGCCGAAATAGAACTGAGTCATGTTCATGAATCAATTAACAGAACCGTGAAAAAAAGTGAAATTTCACTCATCAATTTCAACCAAAAGCCTAAATAAAATCTAGATGTTACAGGAGTGTAATTCTATTCTACTATGAGAATAAGTCCAGTTATATCAATGTGAGACGTCAGAAAGTTTTACCTCAGCCAGTTAGTCACTTAGAACTTTGTACGTACGTACATAAGTTTAAGTTGCCATTCTACATTAACACAGAGACCCCATTGTCAGTTCAAATCCCATAGTGGCAGAGATATTGGAAGTATTAGCGATAATGGAGATTAGAGTTCGAAGAAATTATTCAAGAATTATAATTCAGTGAAAAAGATTTAGAAAGGGAGAAATAGAGGTGATGAAGGATTCAGAAGAACGTCTCTAAACATCGGTTACTAGAAATTTCTATGACAAACTGTTGATTGCTGAGTCGCTGTATGGAATTAAAAACAATATCGTCCATTCAACAATACGAATGTAGACGAACATAAGGCCCAGTAGAAAAACTTTTAAACCAAAACCAACATACCGAGAAACTGCAAGAGAGCCATTTACTCTTTGTATAATAACGGAACCACCGGCATTTTGTATACGCTGTTTCTCGTTTGGATTTACAGGCTTATGGTCAACTGTAGCAAAGGCAACTTTACCTTTTCGAATGAGTATGGCACGAGAATCGCCACAATTGGCAAAGAAGATATGTTTAGGTGTGATGAGTACACAGACAGCAGTTGATCCTGATCTATCTTCACCACTAGCAAGCTGAGGAAGGTGTCGAAGACGATCATCCAAAGACAGGAAACCATCGCGAATACCACGTTCGACTTCTTGTAAACTAGGTGCTAAATCAGGGTTAATTTTCTTGAATTCTTCGGTATCCACAATACACTGAAAAAGTAAAATATGAATTGGTAAACGATGAAGGCGACAGACTAATTGATTCATTAGGAACTTTTAATGCTGCAATGAGCTGCAGTGAATGTGTGAAAACGAACATAATATAAATCAACAAGATAAAATGAACTTGTACACCAAGTTACTTGATCTCCAGCTTCATAATTTTACTCGAAAAAAGTAACTTGCTGTTAAGTTACCAAAAGTTCTATACAACTTAATCGATTAACCAACATTCTACTGCATATGTGCTGGTGATAAATTTATTGTCTTAAACAGCTTTAAGTATTCTATATACCTGGTGAATCTATTGAACAAAGAGCACAGAAAATAAATTGACTATGGGACAACAGAATGAGGGGAAATTGCACTTCATAATTTATGAAGGGGGATTGATTGGATAAAATCCTGTGCAACTGCTACGTGACGCCTTAACTCGAATCTAATCAACAAGGATCTGTATATTTCAGAGTACGTTGGTATCTCGCTAATAGAATAAAGGTTAGAGTCAGACAGTTACAGTGTAGAACTTGGTACGTACGTACATCAGTTCAAGCTGCCATACCACAGCAGCACACAAATACAAGTTTTAATGCAAATGCCATGATGGTAGATGTAGTAGACGTATTAGCGGTAATGGAGAAGATAAGAGATCAAGATATTATACAGGAAGTATTATTCAGTGAAGAAAATTTAAAAAGAGAAAGATATATGTGATGAGGAATTCCGATTAGAATTTGAGTGAACACGACGAATGGATGAACCTGCGCCACTGCAAACGGTTTTTATCCATATCATTCAAGGTTTACAACCATCCGTTACTTTCGTCTCGCGGACCCCAACCAGAGAGCCTACATCTGCCAACATGACTCAGTCCACTTGTCAGTGATTTCATGGATTTGTGCCATGTTTTGGTCTAGCCAACCTTAGCCGTCCTCCAGCCTATCTGTGTACCACAAAGCATAGCTAGTCGAGGCAGTCGGTGGTTGTGCATTCGTAATAAACATCCCAACCACCTCAACTGATGAAGTTTAACTACTTCAAAAATTGATCTATCATTTCTACCTAGTACTCGTTTTCTAATGGAATCACTTACTCAGTGGTCCCAGGATATACAATCAATGCTTCGAAGACATCTATGATCGTATACTAGCAACCTACAAATATCCTCTACTCTTACCGACCATGTTTCACACCCATAGAGTAGGATGGAGATAGAACTATATAACTATATGTTCTTCGTGTTTTTAACTATTCGTAGAAAGGATTTGATTATGACCAGTTTGGTCTCGTGTGCTGTTACGGGTATAAGCGCGGTAGTCACTTACCGGCTACCCACAACATGGAAGGGTACTTCTTGAGGAACCTGAAAAGGGAATTGGGTTAACGTTAGTCAGGGCGGCCTAGGAGCGTGATTGCAGAGCCCAAAGGAAAACTGCTTGAGGCCGGTCAGGCACAGCCATTTTACGATGTTTTAAAGTGTTAGTTCAACTTTTCAAATCCATGAGGTAAGGTGGTGTGACATTTTCAGAATCGACCTTCTCTAACCCCTTCCTTCCTTGTGAGAAGGCATCGCTGCAGATACTGGTTGTCCGAGAGAAACACCTTGCTGCTGTCACACCCTTCTACAGTCAGTAATACAACATCGCCCTCAGACACTGAGTAGCTGCTCTTAGTCTCACTGTTCTGCAGTCGACCTGCCTGGCATGATAGAACCAACAGGAACATATGTTCTAGCGAATATAGTTCGGCTGAATCATCAGAATAGGTGCGCCCAACCACCACGTCAAGGTAGCAGCTACGTTGTAAGCGACTGACTGACCCATTCATAAAATGCATTGAACTCCATTTATTAGGGTTTCAGAAATTTTTAACTAAAGCCGTATTGAGAAACATACTGAGTCAAACTAGATCATTACCGTTGGATTCTGAAATGGCTATCCGTTATCACTTTCGCGCGTAAGGTATAACTTTATATTGGTTTTAGGATTGAATGCAGTTAAAGGATAGAAAATACACTTACTTATAGATCAGTAGCCGTCTCTCCGAAAAATATATTGGCGGAGTTATACTTCTAATTCAAGTAGGCATATGAAGTTCATTTATACACGAACTCTTTAGTGAGTATCTAGTTTTCGCAACTATACTTGATGTTTTCATTGGAGTTTTCAAACACATTCAATACTCTGAATGAGTTGTTGTATTTCTACAGTATTTTACACTGTGGAAAACCTCAGCTGATTAAGCTGGTGAGTAATAAAAGGGTTTCACTAGTTCTGACTAAACGATTAAGAACCAGCGGCTTCATTATTTGAAATCTTACAAATCACCGTATACAGTAAATCTTTATAAGAAGTCAATCAAGTAACAAAACAACCCGGAAGACTATTGTTTTGTACTAGGGTTTTGTGAGCCAATAAAACGTAACGTAGAGCCTGGTATGTATGTACATCAGTTCAAGTCGACAAGCCCCATTATCACAATAAGATGATAGTGCTAGCGAGAATCCAAGAAGAATAATAGTAACAGTATCAGTGGTAATAGAAAGGAGTAAGCACCGAAGATACGATTCAATAAAATATAAATTAGTAAAACGAAATTCATGCGGAATTAGGAAGATTATTATCCAAGGAGACCAATATTGAATGTCTGCACCATTATGAATAACTTTGGAATATGTTATCCAGTCTTTTGACCACAGTTACAATAATTACGCGGAACCCAATCAAGTAGTCCACACCTGGTGCGGTCCAGTTATCACTTTTCGCTTCGTAGTAATAAAATGTGCATAAATAATATTTGTATCCCACGCACCAATTTTTATTGCTGAAGACCGCATCATTTTACATAAAGAAAGCAAGCATGCCAAACTTTATTTGCCCAAATAGTGACAGTTCTATTCCGACTTTTATTATTAATTTAAACGAAGAATATTGGTCACAAAGCACGCAAAGAAGTGACAAACCTTCAAAAGTTCTGTGGCGCAGAGCTCTGATACCAAGGCACCTGCATGGCCATCAAAAACGGCAAAGAACGACCAGTCCTTGAGGTTTCCAGGAAGTTGTGTTATAGCACAGTGAGAATCTTCCATTGAAAGACGCCAGCCTTGCATGCTTGAGATTCCATATCGAAGTCCATTGCCACAACCAGTTTCGTTATATTTATCAGTCTTGGGTGAGGATAGAAGTCCTCCCATTTTTATACCGGTTTCGAGTGTGACGGTGTGCTTAGCTTGAATTTACGTCGTGTGTTGATAGAATATACGGAGAAGCAGTGATGGAGAAACCTGTAATACAGAAGTGAACCGACAAATCATTAAGCAAGTATCACGAACTTGCATTTTAGTATTGAAGTTAATTAACTACAATAGGCAGCAACAAGTGCTTAATATTAATACAATAAATTAATCAAAACTAAGAATGCATAGCATGGGATTTCGAGTATGTTTAGTATGATGATTTTCGTACACGTACCGTATGGATTCAAAACTGTTCATTACTTTGCATTTTACGTTTCAATAGTGTTGGAAGAACTAAAGCTACGGTGAACAAAATATATCCAACTGGTAGGCCAAACTTTCTGTTACGCCTTTCTTAAAGAGTTTTATCTATTTATTATGGAAGAGTTCTAGCTGCTGACGAAATACTGAGTTAACTAGCGAGTATGGACAGGCTGTCAGCTTTTAGAGACCATTTTGCATACCGCGAATACAAAGCAAGAAAGATGACTGACTTTATTCGTAAGATCATATGGACCGATTGTTACCAAACCATTTCTTATAAGTGACTTCAATTTTTCGAGAATCCGTTGGACTTGAGGTTGTCAGGGATATACCTAGTTTGACAATGCGTTTGTCTATAACACTTTTTAGATCCAGCATAATCAAAGTCTGTTCAAACCAGAAGTCAGGAATGAAAAGGAATGAATTCTTGTTTGAATAATTGTTGGAATGTTGAGTGAATGAAAGCAGTACTCCAGGATGTTCTGGTACAAAGGCCTAACCTAACGAATTCTGCAAGGATGTTCACGGTAGAACTATTTAGAAAAGCATCAGTGCAATGACTTACAGAGCTATATATTCTGAGGACTTATTTACCGCTACAGACAAATGAAAGTGGACGTCCATGAAATGAATAAATTTTCACAATGTTACACATTTCTAGACATTTTTTCCTTACGGGTCGTAACATGTCTATCCACCGAGAGAAGTAGCTTTATACTTCTTTGAATCTTATACTTGTAGTAGAATCCTTCTACAAAAAGAACGCAACTGGCAAAAAGGAAACATTTATTATTGTAGTCGATTCTAAAAATTGTTTTATTGTACTCCTTTTGTTTAACTGTACTAAAAACACTTACGTGCAACTTTCTGTTCGTGCTGCTGCCATCACTCGTTACATGCTGCTCTTTATGTCGCCCATTTTAATGTTGTAAATTCGGTGTTCATTAGACACCACGAAACCATCGGCAAATATATCCTTTACTCTGGATTTATTTATCACATTTTATGACGGGCTAGTAATTAGTAGTCAGTGGTGGTCATAGTCAATCTCGACTCGGCCACCACTAAATACTTATCCTGTTAGTCTAACTGCGCATACCTCAAACGGAAAGAACTCAACTGGGCATCCACACCATACTGCGTATGATCATTTCCTGCTGCACATCTCTTACGACAGATAATCAGTTCATATTTCATAGGATACGGTATCTAGATATCAAAAAAACCTTTACATAATATTGTCCTTCAGTTCTGACCTGCTCCAGATGTACATCAGATGTTAGCCTTTTCGAACTCTGCTTATTCGTTCCATCTTCATACTTAGCAACGAACTACAAGGAACGTAGAACCATCAATAATTACCTGGAAATTAATGGCTGGAAGCCATTTGATACTGCTCCTACTTCGGGGTAACTAGATGAGGTTATCTGATGAAACATCTATGCTAAATCCCGTTTCAGCTATTCAAACACCTCAGCACATAGTCGCCAACTGAAAAGTATCTCACTTCTGTACCTTTGTGAATAATGTGAGCACTTTTACTACGAATGTCAATATCCTTTTGCTAGAGTTCCTATAGCTTCTGTGTTGAGATGAGACCAAACAAAGTCGGGGACGAAAAGTATCAGATAGGTCGCCCTTAATTTGCTTTTACAAACATCTCATCATTCACATGGGTACTAGAATCACGGGCTACGTATTCAGAAACTTGACCAAAGAACAAATCTAATGGAATGATCACCTCCTCTGAAATTACACTAAGTCAACAGATACAATTAAAGGCCTAAAAATGAAACGAAATTTTTTTCGTTTCGCTACTTTTCAGTGTCCAGTTTATTTAGTTGGTTGAGTTACTGGTTTCAGCATCTACTTAGACTTTCGAAACATATAAAGAATGTAGTTTATCAGTTGTTGATTTCCTTCGGTGGTAACAGAATCATTCGCAGGACATGCTTTTCCTAATACGAATTGTTTGTCGGCATTTGATGGATGTATGTTAAGATATCTGTTCACGAAAATAGGCATGATCTTGTTATGGGACGTGTCGTGGTTGACCGTGATCACCACTACATACCAATTAAGTTCCCGTCACTAAATATAATATCTCTTTGAATCAAGGACAGGTAAGAAGAGTTAATCCATACAAGGAAATATATTTGCTGGCGATTTCGCTGTATCGAAGGAATACAAAAAACGTGCCAGACAAGAGGGGCGAAGTTACAGTGAGCAGTTTAACCAAAATGGCAGAAACCTAAACTGAAAGGTTGCGCGTACAAAGTAGGGATAAACAAAACGTTCAGTAAAACAATCACTGGCACAAATGGTTATTATAATGAACGTTTCTTTTAAATCGATTGAGTTCTCTTCACAAAAGTGGATTCACTTCAATCTTAACTGAGCTGGTAAAAGACTCAACCATCAAAATAAGTGTATTTTTGTTATCTTATTAATTACTTGGCAGTAATACAAAAGATTAGCCATCCATGAACGTATTTATGTTTGTAATAAAGTATATCAATCCGCTCGTATTATTTGTTATTCCAAACTTGTGAATAAACTAACTAGTTCAACAACTCACACGTAGATTCGATGACAAAACCGCATTTTTGGTTCAGCCACTGAGAAAGTAGCTGGGTGACTGGATCCGAATTATAATTTATGTTTGTGTGGCAGAACATTTTGTTTGCTTTCTGCTATTTTTGACTGATGAGGCGACTAACCAGTAATATTGAGTTTGCGCTCATACTTTGGCTACTTCTGAGCCTCATTTGGACAATCATGTTACCTTTACGCAAAATGCAACTTACGCGTGCGTACACCTAGGTCACAGCTGATATCAAGTGCATTTCAATCAACACATTTAACGAATTCATTTCTGAATTATGCAAACCACCAGAGAACTCTACATTGTAGTTACCCTATTTGTACTCACTTTTTGAAAATGTGGCTATACCTAGCTGTTCCTGTCAGTGATATTATATGAACGTGCCATCAGAAACAGACGTATTTCATACCCGACTGCGCAACCTATTACAGCGAATGTGGTAGCACTTTTAACAATCAGATCTAGTCTGTGAACTAGCATGCCCATTGTAACATACTGTTATTTCAGAATAAATATTATTAATATCGACGCTCAGTAACCCTTTGGTAGTATGTCGATTTACTGCGTGTTCTTAAGCTCGGTGATTAGCTCGTCTAGACAATCGTTACTAAATAGCGTTTGACGGTTTATAAATCAGAAGGTAAACTCGTAGTGTTGAATACGTTTATTTGAGACACACCACAAAGCGAAGCGGAGAAGCAGTGAGTAAAACGAATGAAGTGACGTGAACTGGAGGAGGTTTTGAGCTAACTCCATGGATTACAATGCGAACGAATGGGCTAAGGAAGCGAATGAATATGCGAAGCGCGTTGGAGGAGGCTAATGAGCCAACTCAATGAGAGAGAGCGTGACTAAGAATATATAGTCAGACAAATATAAGACAGACATGCGACAAACGATATAGGTACACATGAATAAAAGCGACGAATAGTTGACAAGGTCAAATGACAAGTGGGACACGTCATGTGAGCTATTACAAACCAGACAATAATAAGAAGGAATGGCACATATAAATTGTTGCAAAACAAATGGCTTGGTTAAATAAATTAATCGTAAGGGCTTAACCGAATTAAATATAAGCGAACTGGAATATATGAGGAGGCACTACACCTTGTTCAGCAAAACTTTGTTGCTTATGACGTTTCATTTACGAAACGGGTTTGAAGTATTCATAGTCTGACAAGTAAGTGGTGCCATTTTTTCTGTTTCCGAATGGGCGGAGTTAAGGTCATTCAGTAATGCCAACTTACTTTTTCATCAAAGAGCAATAAACTTCAGGATTTAGTGATATAATATTAAACAAAATAATTTACTCTCAAATAGAAATGTGTTACATGACGCATGCCACTTTGCAGACACGATCAAAATTTTAAGAGTACTAACACATTTGCTGTAGAAAGTTGTTAAGTTACATTGTAGTGTGTGGATTTACTGCGTGTACTTAAGCTCGGTAATTAACTCGTTCAGACAATCGTTTCCAAATAGCGTCTGACGGTTGATAAATCAGAAGATGAACACAAAGTGATGAATACGTTTATTCGGGACACACCACAAAGCGAAGCGGAGAAGCAGTGAATAAAACGAATGAAGCGACGTGAACTGGAGGAGGTTTTGAGCTAACTCCATGGGTTACAATGCAAATGAATGGGCGAAGTACATTGGAGAAGGCTAAGAGCCAACTCAAAGAGATAGAGCACGACTAAGAATATATAGTCAGACCAAAAATAAGACAGACATATGACAAGCGAAATAGGCATGCACACACATGAATAAAAGCGACGAATGACTGACAAGGTCAAAAGCAAGCGATACAAATCATGTGAGTTCATGGGGAAATTAAGAAATTACCATTAAAGCGAAAAGGATGAGTAAGCGCGTAGGCGTAAGCAATGCTCAGTCGTTCAAGCTCATACAAACCAGATAATAAAAAATACCAATGGTACATATGAGTTGTTGCTATACAAATAGCTTGGTTACATAAGTTAATCGAAAGGCGTAATCAAATTAAATATGAGCGAACTCAAGTTTATGTGTAGGCACTACAACATAAATATTTTACAATATAAAGTAGCTTTTGACGGATCATATATTGTACAACAGCATTTATGTAGGTTAATGAAGGTATGTCACCTGCATGACAATGAGTCGACAAATGATTAAATGAATATAGGTGATTCAGAAGAACTGAATTGTTGAAAATTATATGGATCTGCAGAATGTAATGCGGAAGGCAAAGTGAGTTGTTGCACTATTTATTTATTACTGTGTTTACCAATTACGAAGTCATGAAAGAGACCTCTGTTTAAACATAACTGTCTAGATCAGCTTGTAACAGAATTTCTTGGTAAGAAGAGAAACCAGTTCTGGTTAACAAACACCAATCAAAGATGCCAGAGACATGGGAGAGATACATTATTTTCATTGAATAGCTGCATCCAGCTAGATCGTAAGGAGCCGCAAGTAAACAAAACTTTCTGCTTCACCGTCGTGATTACTAATCCTTTCCTATTTAAGACTCAGAAAATCTACGCCTACACTGAACATTTCAATCTTTCTTCACTGAACTATTAAGAAGCTCGAAAAACGTACGATCTCTGCTTCGACAACGGGCCGTGTTTGAACCGACACTAAGTCACTTCCGTCGGGTGATCTTAGTAAAAACATGACCGCAATGCTCTTGTCGTGTGATTTCAGACACTTGATACTCAGTGTCCAAATCGTAAAAGCCTAATTCCGAACTCCTTTTCTAGACTCTGTCGGCAGATGATCGACTAAGTAGCTTTGGTTCCTGGTGATCAGTTAAAATATGTAATTTCACACCAAAAAAAGTATCTATTCCGTCTTCGTATTGCTTGTAACAAACCTAAGGTTCTCTTTTTGGCTTCAGAATATCCTTTTTCAAAATTACTCAGTTGCTTCGAAATAAAACTACACGTTTTCAATTCTGAGCCAGAATCTCACCTTACTTCATCAGAGATGCTTATGTGATGATGAAAGATATTTCGGCAGGTGGGAGTGGTCTGCAAAAAGCCACTGCTAAATGCTTTTCATCATATATATACAAAACCTTTAGTAAAAGCGGAGTCAAAATGGAGATAAAACTGTGTAAAGTAAGGAATAGACCTGGGATAAAATTGAAGAACAACACTCTGTAATCTGAGTGCTGAGAAATTCTTTGGTGATGGTGCTCAAATCATTAAACCTAGACGACTTATATCAGGTCTACAGCCCTTCACATTATAGCTAGGACAGTTCATAAAAGTAAGTTTAAACCCACACTTGGACGAATTTATGGTCACATTTGTGCCACAAAAGCATCTAACTTGCTTAAGAAGGCATTCAATTTTCTGATCAATAATTTCAGCAAAACTCAATATTATCTATACGATTCAACCTCATCAAGACCGGTAATCATCGGATTCACAACCTTCTGGAATATTCCAGGTGAAATATTTAGTCCAGAGGGATGGAATTCGCATATCAATAAATCAAGTAGTGTGTTAATAGTAGTTAATTCATCAGAGATTTCATCCAATGAGACTTGTGACAGTGCAACTTCTAGGTCTTTTTCAAGAAAATGTTTTGATACTCGTAATTTATAGTATATCATCAATTTTCTCGGTGACAAAGCTCAGTTGCAATAGCCACATATTTAGCGCCAGGTAGCAGTTACTAAAAATTTAAGGTGCTTTTACCATCTAACTATAGTGAACTCACGATGGAAGAAGCAAAACTTGACGACTCAATTGAGATTATTATCACCATTTCAGCGAAGCCATCAAACTCAATATCTATTCCTCCTCCCAGAATTATTAGGAAATGTGTCCGCTGCAAAATAATGAACTTCACTTTTACTTATACTATTCTGCTATAACTTTCGTACCTCTTATATTCTTCCAGACAAACAGACAGATACAAAGCAAAACTTCGTACTAGATACATCAGTTCAGGATGCCATATCACATTAACACAGACACGCAACTGTCAGTTCAAATCACATAGTAGTAGCGATAGTAGAAGTATTAGCAATAATAGAGAAGATTAGGGAGCGAAGAAATGATTGGAGAAGCATAATTCAGTGAGATAAATTTAGAAGGAGAAAGATAGAGATGGTGAGGAATTCAGAAAGTTAGAAGTTGAGAGAACACAAATAGTGGATGCACTTGCGCCACTGCGAACGATTTCGAGCCATGTCGTTCAATATCTCTAACCATCTGTGACTTTTGTCTCACGGACCCCAACCAAGTAGCTTGCATCAACCAACATGACTCAGTCCACTTGTCAGTGACTTTACGGATTTGTGCCATAATTTGGTTTGGCCGCCAATACTTTTCTTCCAGTCGACTGTTGCACCACAAAACAGAGCTTGTCCAGGCACTCGGTGGTTGTGCATTCGTAATAAATATCCTAACCACCTCAATTGATGTGGTTTTAATACTTCATCTGTTGACCTGCCATCCCTACCTAGAACTCGTTTCCTAACGATAGCATTACTGACTCGGTCGTCCCAGGATACACAAGTAATTCTTCGGAGACAACTGTGATCGAAAACCAGTAACCTACGAATGTCCTATACTCTCACCGGCCATGATTCGCATCCGTATAGTAGGATGGAGCGAAGTGCTGCGCAGTACACTCGCCCTTTGATTAGCAGACGAATATATCGCATGCACCATAGGTGACGCAAGCTTCCAAAAGCCAATCGAGCCTTCTGTACCCGCGCTGAGATTACTTCAGTCACCAGGCCATGAGCAAGGTAAGTGAAGCGGTCTACACGTTCGACCACTTCACTCCATATCACTAGTTCAGGTGCCGACGCAACCCATTCTTCAAGCCACATTCGCCATAAACTCTAACTCGACCAGTGGTGTTTGAGTAGAGAGCTTTTATAAGGTTAATGTACTTCTTCGGCACACTTTTCAATTACAGACACTGCCACAGAACTTCACGATCCACATAGTCAAATGGAGCCTTAAGGTCCGGGAAGACAACTATTGTTGTGTGTGTCTGTGTTCCAGGACCTGACGTTGTGTACGAATGTGGTCCATAAAGCCACGTCCCGATCGAAAATCATACTTGTTTTCTCTAGCCTACTCTTCACGAGCTCCAGTTAGGCGTCTTAGTATAATGGAGGCTAACAATTTAGAAACTATATTAGTTAGACTGATTCCCCTGTAATTGTCACAAGAAGACTTTTGTCCTTTCTTACAAATTGGGACAATCAGGGATTGAGACCATTCGGATGGGATTACGTCCAGTTCCCAGATTCTACCTAACATCTCAGTCAACCTAGCCGCTATAACTGGACCACCATCCTTAAAAATCTCAGGTCTCTGTCTATCGGGTCCTGTTGCTCTCTCTCGCTTCAGATTTTCTATAGCCTTTTCAACTTCCTAAAGGTTCGGAGGGCTTACGTCGACTTGCTATTCAGGATGACTGGAGATCGTGGGTAACAGAAGTGTGGTTAAAGGCCAGCTGAGCTGATCCCTAAAGTGTCCTGCCCATCAATCCAGTCTCCTAGATTGAGAATAAATAATAGTCCGATCCTTTTCCGAAAAAGTCTCACTCACATTTGGGTTCCTATAACCGGTTTCACCGATAAGGCGTAACAACTGTCTACTGCTGCCTATCGCCGCTGCCTTTTCCATTTCCTTTGCTATCTCTAACCACCACTGTTCGAGATCATTTGGTAGGCTTTTTATCAGCCTGACTTAGCTCTTCAACATGTTCAGAGCCAATAAGGATGAGTTTACGAGAGTCTGTCAGTTCGAAGTATGCTTCTGAGATCCTCAGCTTCTTCCTGAGCTTATGGTTTAACTTACTAGCAGATATCACCGCGGTTCCCACAGCCTTTTTGATATGATTCCAACCTGCTTCCGGCTGCGAATCACCTACACGGTTGCATAATTCTCTTTCTAGTTGCTCCTGAAATATATTAACAGCTGTTTTATCATTAAGTAAAACCAAAAGAGGCTTCCTTACAGTGTCTTTCCTACGCCCAATAAGGCGCAAACAAAGACGCACTAGCACTAAGGCATGATCTGAATCTAGACATATGCCTCAGAACGAGCGACAGTCCTCTATCGAACCTCTCCATCGGTGACTGATGGGGTTGTGATCTAGTTGGGTCCAACGTTGAGACGACTTTGGGGGCTTCCATGTCGAAAGATGTTTTTCCTTGTGCTTAAAGTTAGTATTTGCTAGGAATAGGCGGTTATCTGAGCATTGGTGCAACAGACGGTCGCCATTGTCTGTTCTCTGAGCCGTGATACCATAACATCCACCTAGGTGTCTTTCCTTTTCACTTAGTCTACCTACGTGAGCGGTTAAGTTACCAGCTATTATTATTATCTCGGAGCGCCCAGCTTTTTGCAGGAGGTCCGAACGCTTTCTGTAGAACTCATCTTTCACATCGTCTTAACTGCAGGTAGTGAAACGTAGACAAGCACAACGAAGAGACAACGTCGAGTGTCCCTATCTTTCCGAATCCTTACTTTTCTGTTCAGTCGGACAGCACACAAGCGACTATCCACTGAGACGCAGCCTAGGAGAGCAAGTTCTACCCCAGATGTTCGTTTGGAGTATGATCAGAAAAGTAAGTGCAAGAATAAATGCAAAGTAAGGTACTCTACAAGAGGAATACCGACACACTCATCCTCGTCTTTTGCAAATTTCCAAAAAACTAGACCAGCTATATTCTCAGAACGGATTTATTTGCGTTTCCTTTACCATGATCATGGTTTATATAGACAACTAGCATTATCAGTCTAATTAACATAGGTTGATCGTTGATTGAAACGTATTGCAGTTCATACAGATGGTCTTACACTCCATATAGTATAGCTTTAAAGTCACCCACCATCAAAATAATATCATCACAACATTTTCTTTGTTACAATTTTTAACTTACTTCGATGTCTATGTCCAGTTCTAACTCCGAGTAAAGCATCATTTAAACAATCTGAATTCGATAAATCTCTACACTGTTAATAAACTGCGAGAATGAAATAACAATAATAGTAATAATAATGGTTTTAATTACACTTTCGCTGTGCAACCACCTACATCATGTCAAGAAATCTGTACGAAAGAAAATTTCCAAGAGTAACAACAGCATCTATTTTTTGACAGCATCTCGCAACTGACATTAAAAAGTTTGGAAACAGTATACTGTCAGAAATATATTAATTTATGATAAGGAGAGTGGTAAAACTTTTATCTGATCAAATAAATGATTTACGACGTATAAAACAATGAAAAATATCCCTAATACCAGCCATGTAACATGTAATAATTTGTTCAATACTTAATTTATATTTAATTCATAGATAGAAAAATTAGAAATTTACATTTTCATATTATGATTAGAATGATTTCAACACAAAACATATATCTTGTATTCAATAACAAAATTTGAAATATAACAACTATTAAAATAATCCATTGTTAGTTATAAAAGAAAAAGAAGTAGCAAGAATTAGGCATTCTAGTAATGATAAAGACCTTTCATTGTAAGTAGTATATATATATATATAAAATAAATACACTGTTTTCATATTATTTACATATACGGATAGTTATGTGAGATGATTATTGATGTAATCATTATCATTATCATCAATTTCAGTTGTTGGATTCTTTTTCTTTGTGACGTTGACATTATCTACTACTTTTTGTGCACATAAAAAATAGGACGACTGAACTGAATTATGCATCGAGTTTTGTTTATATTAATTCTATACAAATAGCAGACAATAACAGTATGTAGCCAATAATTGGACCACATTAACATAAAAATATTGATTACTGAATAAATGAGGATGTAAAATAAAATGACAGAATTAATAAAGAAACATATCTGTCATCATTATGTATAATGTTATAAGGGGACAAAAAAAATATTTTAAAAATGAACAAATCACAGGGAAGAGAAAATACAATGAAAGAAATACTGTTGCTTAGTATTCATTGAAAATATCTCAACATAATTTGATCAGTTGTTTGTAAAATTTAAAAATCTGTCTTACTAATTGAGAGTATATACGAAGGTGATATACTACTGATGGAATCTGTACTACGTTTTGATGCAAGACTTGTAGAGGTAAATGTAGATGTTATACAGGATTTTGCCAAAGACTGACGACTAGTTAAATTATTGCTAGGATCTGAGATATTTTTCAATGCAGCAATAGGATTACCTTTCGTATTTGATGCTGAAGTTGTTCCACTTAGAGAATTTAAACGATTCATTTGTCCTAAGAGAATGCGTATACGAGGCCGGCCACAATCAGAACCAAAGGGATCAAGAAGTGGAGCTTCATGGGGCTATATAAATATTCAACAATGAAAAACATATTGTTACTGAAATAATACTGTGATCAATGCATCATATAGACGATTTGTAATAATATGAACTCAAATCAATTTTAAAATTAGGTTTTATAAATTAAAAAAGGAAATTCACAGAATATATATTAATAAACCAATTAATAACGGAATAGTGAGCTTATGACTGGGTGGTTTAGAAATTGTTTATTTGTGTCAAATTATAACAAAGTTAGGCTAGTCATGTTTACAGTATAAAAGATTACAATCAACACCATAATGAATACTAAATAATAATATAAGATTTAAACAACCCATTATACACACCATGAAAAGTTGTATTAATAGGAAAAGATTTATATGATCTCTTACAATTTTACTAGTCCCATTCATAATACCCAAACTAATCACAAACTGTTAGGAAACCCACTTATACCATAATGTTAGATGTCTGGATTCAGTCTATCGAAAATCGTGAAACTGGCTTTTCGGTTAAATAGAATATGTCAGCAAAGTGTTTATGTACTCTTGACGGCACTGATGATCATATAACTAAACGAACTATTCAGTGACCGATCAATACAAAATTATGCTGTTATATTTTCCTCACATAATTTTATTTTTACCCTTCTGTTCTACTTAAATCAAATGAAGTCTCATCCTCTTTAGTACAGTAAACTATAATATCATTAACCACAGTTCACAAGATATACTCAATTTATTAATTTTATTACCGGTAATATAATCGTATTTTCGTTCTCAATAATTTACTTCGATTTACTTACAAAATTAAATATTTATTCACTTAAGCTTCTGATATCCTGTTGTCAGTCTGACGATTTCTTTATTTTATCCAATAATATCAAACTTATGAATCACAGTTCATAAACATTATACTTCATGCATGAGTTTAGACAAAATTACAAGATAAGAAATGATCAAATCGATGCAACAAAATGAATTTCATCCACATTAATCAAAATCCTTAGACAATAAGAGGAAACAAATAACCAATCAAGTTAACTGAATGTAAACTGCTGGATCAGACAATATCATGGTTGTTTCTGTGGAAACTCATTCGTAACTTTCAAAATATGAAGTGACATCTTGATTGGCTGAAGGTCAATGGTGTATCGAGTCCAGTAGACTTCCTACTGGCTGATTTAGCCGAAGAGCCACAAATACTTTTCAATCCCGTAAACGAAAGATCGTAAATTCCAAAGTGGGTTGATACATGTATTTAGGATTACTTAATAACAAACATGATAACTCAAGCATCAAAAATAATTATTTGAAAAAGACAAATTCTAACATCAGAGTAATTAAATAAATCTTCTTTTAGAACGTTTCATATACGTAGTTATTAAAAAAAACTATCAGTTGCTTGTTCGTTTCTCAATTACTCAAAAATTTGCTGTAACATAAACAAATCCTTGTGGTACTAATATGACAGGATTATTATCTGGTTATTCATAAACATCACCATGTATGATTTCTAATATTAATGTCAATAATAGTTTATCAAGCATCTGGTTAAGAAATTTACCAAATATACATTATATTACTAAATGATTTTGTTAGTAGTAAAACCATCAACAAAATTATTCAAAGTCATTAATTAGTAAAATAAATTACAGAATGACCTCCGCATTTGTTATCAACACAATTAGTGAAAATTTAATTAAGATAAAATCCACCTCTATACACACAGCATTTACCTGTTTTGAACTTTGATGAGTAACATTTGAATAATCTACGAATTTAATAGAAAAACTTAATAATTAATGAACTTTTGCCAAGCTAGTTGTGATGTAATGAAATCGTTGGTGAGTAATTCGTCAACAGAAACAATATATTATGAGGAAATCTAGCAAAATATATCATCCATGTGCTTTCATAATGAATAAGCTATCCAACTCTCCTTACTTACGTACTTACTTACGCCTGTTACTCCCAATGGAGCATAGGCCGCCGACCAGTTTTCTCCAACCAACTCTGTCCTGGGCTTCTCTCTCCAGTTCTGTCCAATGTTTATTCATTCCTTTCATATCTTTCTCTATTTCTCGGCGTAATGTGTTCCTTGGCCTTCCTCTTTTCCTTTTGCCCTGAAGGTTCCAAGTGAGGGCTTGTGACACAGTTAGGTGCTTTTCGCAGTGTGTCCTATCCACTTCCACCGCTTCTTCCTGATTTCCTCCTCCACTGGAATCTGGTTTGTTCTCTCCCACAGTACGTTGTTGCTGATTGTGTCTGGCCAACGAATCCGAAGTATTTTGCGTAGACAACTGTTAATAAACACTTGTATCTTCTGGATGATGCCTTGTGTAATTCTCCAAGTTTCCGCTCCATACAGTAGAACTGTCTTGACATTTGTATTGAAAATCCTGATTTTGGATTTGGTTGAAAGTTGTTTGGGGTTCCAGATATTTTTCAACTGTAGAAATGCAGCCCTTGCTTTGCCAATCCGTGCCCTCACATCTGCATCGGATCCACCTTGGTTGTCGATGATGCTGCCCATATATGTAAAGGTTTTAATGTCCTCCAAGGCATCTCCATGAAGAGTGATTTTGTTGGTGCATGTTGTGTTGCATCGGAGAATTTCGCTTTTTCCTTTATGTATGTTGAGACCTACTGCTGCAGAGGCTGCTGCTACACTGGTCGTCTTCTCTTGCATTTGTTGTTGAGTGTGCGATAGAAGAGCCAGGTCATCTGCGAAGTCCAGATCGTCCAGCTGCGTCCTAACTGTCCACTGAATACCGTGCTTCCCTCCAGATGTTGACGTCTTCATAATCCAGCCGATCACCAGGAGAAAGAGAATGGGTGATAGTAAGCAACCTTGCCTCACACCGGTCTTCACCTCGAAAGAGTCTGTTAGCTGTCCTCCATGCACGATTTTGCAGTTGAATCCATCATAAGAATTCTGTATGATGTTAACTATCTTCTCAGGCACACCGTAGTGTCGAAGAAGCCTCCACAGTGTTTTCCTATCCACGCTATCGAATGCTTTCTTGTAGTCGATGAAGTTGATGTAGAGTGGTGAGTTCCATTCAACTGATTGTTCCAGAATGATCTGTAATGTAGCAATTCGGTCAGTACACGATCGATCCTTACGAAATCCAGCCTGTTAATTAGGTTTCAACTGTTATTTCGAATATTTTGTGCAACGGTTTAATATTCACCAAAGAACTACTACAAAATGGGTAACTCTAGATGGCTTACATTTCGAAGTTCACTCATTTTTCAGTACAGTACGACTAATATTCAGTGCTATAAGTGATGTGTTTTATTTCAAACTGATTTTCGATTAAGTCTAATCAAAATGCCCAATCCATAACATTTACTCAATCACCTACGTAGAGTTCGAAGACTAAGCAAGTGTAGGAAACTATGATGTGAAAAGATGATTATATATATATATATATATATATATATATATATATATATATATATATATATATATATACAATACTGAACTAGTTCGGAGAGAAATATTTGAGGGCGTCGTCAGACAAACAGTCTATTTACTCACAATAAGCCCATCAACGTTCAAACTTTTTAATTGCTGTGTTATAAACGCGGTCGAATTAACTATAAAGCCTATAAAAACTTGTAAACCGAAGAATATAAATAATGTTACAAAGTCTTCGTTTTGTCTTTTTTTTTATCTGAAAGAAAGTAATCAAGATTTATCTGCTTTGCTACTCCTAAAATAATTAAAAGTGATGCTCCCTATTCATCAAACCTTAATGGAATAGACTAGTTGTTTTCAGTAAATGTTGAATAGTTCAGGACATTAGATGGTGTGGCAAAGTTGAATATTATACATAAAATGAAATAAACGAAAGAAACTGTAGGGAACAAATCTAATCACCTTACATGATAATCAGTCTAACTCAAATGTGCGAACACATATTCTAACTACTCAGTAGGTTAACTGACTCTTAAACAATCAATGAGGACAATATATTGAAGTGAAGTAAGTGGATATGAATTAAGGGAATACAACTGGAACCAATCATACAAGTAGCACTTTTGATTGATGCTTTCAGAATAATTATGCAGTGACTTGCCAATATTTGTGCAATTAAATAATAAACATGTTTTTTTTCTTATTATGAAGTAAATGAAGAATCACTGGTTAAAGGTGATAGAGTAACTAGGTAAATATTACCCAGTAAATCCTATAATGTTCTCAACTTGAAATGCATTTTAAAACAATTGTAAAGAAGTAAATATAGGTTTATTGAAATATTTCGTAAATCGAGAAACAAGTTGTAAACCAATGAATAAAGACCAAGATAGGAAAACAATTTGGATAAACCATTTTTAGTACATAAAATGTATCTTTGATGGTTAGTGTTTTAGTATGGCAGAGAAAGCAAAGACCTACTAAGTTTGGTAAATATTATTTTAATTGGTTGTTTTTTCTCACTTTTTAACTATAGAATTCTCATGAATAACAGATATATATATATATATATATATATATATATATATATATGAGTAATCGAATTAATTTATAATAAATCATTTTACAGATAAAAATACTCACACATATTGAAACTATTCATATTATTATACTAAATAAGAGAATTTCAAATGGTACCAGAAAATATAGGCAAGTTCGGAATAAAAATTCTTACTACGAACTAACATTGTTTGTACAGAAAAATAGTGGATGAAAAAACCCGATTAATATTTATTCTTGTATTCTCGTTTAAAAATTTCTCATAAATCCTCAATCAATAGAAAAAACTGTTCAATAATGAGAAGTGAACATATACATATTGTTCAGATGATATTATTAATAGTATATGAAAATAAAAATAGCAAATGATCAAATGATATATTTTATTCTAATGATAGAAAATCAACATGCATTTCATGAAATCTGAAAAAAAATAATGAAATCTATGAATTTAATTAATTTGGACTATAAATGTAATTATATTTAGTGTAAACATGATACATTGAAAAAAATGTTAACAGTAGTAGTATTAATATGTCAAATAAATAAAAACTAACCTGAACAGCTTGTCTAAGTGAAGTGGTTTTTTTACAGTCTGATGAATTTAATAGTTTTACTGTAGAAGAATTGTCTGAATTTTCTGTAGTATGTTTTCTGACTAAAGTACTCGACTTGTCTTCAACATCAGATGACCAGTCTAAATTGTCAATTGAACTATTGACACTGTTGCCATTATTATTATTATTATTATTATTATTATTATTATTATTATTATTATTATCATTATTCAATCCCATTGTTGACGATTGTCTGAATACTTGTGCACTTGACGGTAATTTGTTCGACTGTTCGATAGAATTAACTGATGTCTTATGATTACGTGTAAATACACGTGCCAAACGGTTAGAATTCATTAAGTCACCAGTAACTGTTAGAATTCGACGTTTCTCACGTCTTGGTGTTAATCCAATTGGATTATTTAATGTTAAATCGATATCTTTATGGTTAGGATTCAATGATTCAGCATCGCGAACAACATCAGTTTTATTAAAAAGTGTTATAAAAGTATGTTTGTTATGATTTTCATTAATCGCTACACGATTATCAGTATTATTATCCGAAGAGGATTTGATTTGAGATTCTGGTGAATTTGTTAATGATGTACAACTTCCATTGATTGTATTGGTTAATGTTATACTATGTTGCATTATATTATTTGAACAGTTTAGACGACTAACACTACGCCGACGAAAGATTCTATGTCTGTATTATGTGAAAAATAGAAATTTAAAACAAAATTAGTATTTAAAACAGATGTGTATTAACGTAGAATTTTGACTGCAAAATAATTTATTTAACAAATGCTCATAATTCACTGAGTTGACAATCAGTAAGCAAACTATGTACGGTCAATTCAAATATTAATTTTCACTCATATATAATATGCTTGTTAGTAGAGAGATTATGTAAAGATGTTTCTCAAGTATTTCATTGTAAATTTATATTGGGATTATTAAAATTATTTTATCTATTAGCAGAATTGATAAACAATACACATTTATAGGGTTTCAGGAAGTCAGCTAAGAATATCTGTTTGATGATTCATACTTTTGCATCTGAAAATATCCAATTTTATATCAATGACCTATAAACGTAATAAACCCAAATAGTAGTTATCTGTAAAGCTAAACATTAGCTTTAGTCTAAGAAGTGTAAAGTCGTTACGTCTCACATCAACAAGAATTCTCCTACTTTATCTTCTTGAAGACAATGTTCTTCTCTGATTCGTAAATCAGCAAGTTTCAACGACAATGTTCGATTTACTTGATATTACAATAAACTTTCGCAGGTTAAAGATACACCAGGTTAGTTTCGTACCAATGACAGACCTGTTACATAACCACAGTCTTGATTAGGTTTTTTAACAATAAAATAGTAGTTTGGCATGATAAATCTTTTATTTTCGTGGGATTAAAATGAAGATATTAGCTTGACATATAGAAAATATTTCTCCCGAAAAACCGACATTTACATAATATGCTTCGTTATCTTCTACTCTCACGAGAACATTCAGGTAGTTTATTAACTTCGGTAGATTTGATCACATTTACATACGTTTGGATGTACCATCTCTTGTCAAGTCGTTAAGACACAACTAGTACACTTTTAATATAACTGCATAAGATGTAATTTAATCCAATATTGTTTATGTTGTCCTAGTAACATAATAAATTTTGATTTCTTTCAATTTCATTCCTACTTCCATCAAAACTTCAGTTTAAAACTATTTCATAACTAAAAAGATTGTGATACAATTCCTACCAGTTATACAACTATAATAGAAATCTAAACCATTTCAAATCCAATTGAAAAGTGTCTTTTTAAACTGTTTAAAAGAACCTGAAGTTATGTCACAAACTGACTTTCGAATGATGCTTAGGAAGGAAAACATAACATGTTTTTTCAGTTTGAGTTTTGACTTTTGTTAAAATGTAATCAATTAAAGTGTGAATTTTCAAAATTTCAAAGCCGAAATAATTGTATATATGCTTAGCTAGCGAACAGTAAGAATTTACATCGTATAAAATATATATATACGTGCAAATTCCAAGCCATGAACAAGTATCAGTATGATATTTAATTTTAAAATGCCGACCAGGGTATATTAAACAATGAACAGTTGATAAACTGAAGGGAAAATACACACGACAGAAACATCTACATGTTAGTGTAACTCTTAAATTAGTATGAGATTGAAGCTGATGGAAGAAAAGAATGAAAAGTTAAACCGATAAAAATTTCTATTATGATAGTAAATTGATTTTCATCCCTAAAATATTCATGTCGTAACAACGGAGTGTGTTTTCATCTCACCATTTCATTCACAATACAGAAAAAAGACGAAGTACTGAATGAAACCAAGTGGAACATACAAACATTTAATCACCAAGGTGAATAAATCACTGAGGGGAAGATTAAACTATGAAAAATGAACAAATTCAGTTTTCATGATGAGGATAGAAAGTTGAATATAGATTTAGCATAGGGATTATCATGAAGCTTTAAAACCAATAGTTTCTGTTCTCATGAGTGATATAACAATAGCTTTATGGCTTTCTTTTGTTATGAGTAAATTTTTCTATAACTATTTTTTACATATCTTATCATTCTTCTGTACATGCAGTAAGTATCCTTAGGAACGAAATAATATGAGGAGACGAATAATAAGTAGATTATTAACAGCAATAAAGAAAAACCTTATTTCTCAAAAGTCATAAATTGTTATCAGGCTGTGAAGCTATATCTATGAAATCAGACATCATTAATATGTCAATAGCACTAATCAAATAATCATGGAGATAAGTAAAGAAAATAATTCTGTAAATAATCTGAATAACAAACCCTTATCATTCGTTATAAGTAATATTAAATAAAAACAATAAATTTTTATTACTCACAAGCTGAGTAATATAAGTGTTAATCTGAGAAACGATGAATCTGAATACGATTTCAGATAAACGTTTACCGATCGACTTAAGGAATAACAAATCTACTTTCATAAGCATTCAATTAGTTGACTTTAGATATTCATTACTAAAATACTATCAGGCAAATTAATTTAGTGACCATATTACTTTTGAATATAGAAAGACAGAGAAGCAAATTTTAGTCTAGAATACTAACCTTGTTACAATCTTAACGCTAATTTATGTACTACAGTCTGTCAATTATTATTACTGCATTACATTTATGAAACACTAAGAAATAAAATAACCCTTAACATGTTTGCGTCAAAAAAGATTAAAATCAACCAGCATCATTACATTTCTTTAGTTAAATTTTCTGTAGACACAATTTATTGTATTAAAAATATTATGTATAAAACGTTATTTATCATAATTTAAAAATAAGATTCAAGTTCTACCATATTTGTATTTTATCCATTTTTTAAAAATAAAAATTGATTTTTTTTGTCTAACATGTAGGTTAGTTTGATCGTTTACAAACGTATTTTTCGTTCAAGATTATATTAGTAGTTTGATCATAGCTTAAAAGCATCGAAATGATTGAGTTTTTGATAAATTTCATATTCACTGTTTCCGATCTTAGTGACTAAATGTGTCAGTGACGCAAACTTTAGCAGTCCGTGATCTAAGTTTATATACTGAATATGTTTGGTTCGTAGTTTTAAATAGTATATATCTAAAGATTTTATTCGTAATCCCAAAAGATACAGAAATATATATTTGACTCAGACTATCTTTCTTTGTAAAAAAAAAAGGCAATAATCTGAAACGAAACCAGAAAATGTGATCTTTTCATGATGACTGGTTCTTGTTTCTGAGACTATAGAACACATTAAAGCCATATGTTAGAAACGGCTACATCATTCCTTCACACGCATAACCTAAGGGTATTGAATTCGATATAACACCAGTAAAAACTTATGCAAGCGAGTTTGAGTCAACTGAAAGTTTAACAAGAAAAAAATATGAACAGCGACAAATCAGAAGAATCTTACGAATCGAGAATTCATAAATTTATTGAAATTCTGAATCGAATATTGTTAAACCACCATTAGAAACCTATAAACAATAGACGGCCGTTTCATCCTAGTATGGGGCTCCTCAGCAGTACGCATACAGAACTCCACGAGTGGGAATGGAACCTTTTCAGTGCTTCAGGGTTTTAAGCAACAATCTAACATTGATCGATCCATGCTTTTAATGGAACTCAAGAATTTCCACAATCCTGTACTGACGAAAATTTATTTTTAATAAAAGTGATGTAAAATAAATTTATAACTCAGTGTAACACTTAAATGATATAAAATCTGTGAATTCATTGTCAATAAACTTATGTTAACAAACAAGCACTAAGTTCTGCATTGTAAAGAAGACCAACATTCTACATACATAGAATTTCAACAAAAGTTCACAAACTCATAGGACAATTTAAGGTGATGCATAAAAGGTCAAATAACATCGATATATTTGTTGGTTTTCATGTATATGACTAATTTATTAACAATTCAACAAATTCAATTTTTATTTTGAAGTATAGTCAATCCATCATGAAAGCATCAATCATAAAATTAGATTTAGGATTTATCCCCATAAAAAATAGACTTTTTTAAATGACAGATTAGCTTATTCAAAATCAACTGAATTCTCTCTAATAACATGAACTTCATACATAGGAAATTCGTAAAATTATACTAAGTGATTGAAATTATTAATAAGTTAAGTGGATAAATCTAGACCAATTTATCACAAGTTCAGCTAATAGTAATAAAGATCAATATGCTTCTATTTGACTACCAATCAAATTAAAAATAAGTTTTACTAAATTATTTGATTGAAGATCAATAAATTGAACTGCTATAAGTTACTGAAGCACTGTCCATGTATTATTGGCCATACGGCATACTGTATCAAGTCAATGGAATGTTTCGTAAGCATTTCACTTGTGTATCATCCTAGTTAAAATCAAGTGCAGATCCACTAGAAATCAAAGATAACCAAACAACTTCAAAGTCCTAATCTGAGAGAGTTGCGAATCGGTATATGTTTAAAACTTAGGTATAAAATAGTTCTTAAGTTCAGTTTTTGACTTTCAGTGTTTTTCAGTCAATGTTAGTTCATCATAATGAAAACTAACTACAAACTATCATAACTTTCTACAAAAAATCAAATTCAGTAACTAGATATTTACTGACTTTATCAAACCTTGCTATTCTGTAATCTGACTCATTATTAAACTTAATAACTGAAATTACAAAAAACACTGAATCTCAGGTCGAAATTCGAAATGACAGAAAAAATGGCGTCTTACAAACCATAACGAAAATAAGTTGTTGAAACCTTCTAAACAAACGAGAAAGAGGATACAAATTAATAACTACAGAGAAGAAACAAGTCAGTAAAGAATAAGCTTGCTAAATCCGAAATTGAGGAACAAATATGAATCATTGATTGAATCTTAATATAAAAAATAAATCTAAGTAGAACTGCATTAACCGATGGATAAAATAAGATGACTTGGATGCATTCAACACTTATAACAAGCTAAAACAACGTTAAAATTTGCGTTTGTCTTTTGATGATTACAACATATTGGTTAAAATTTCCAAGATTCAATATTTAACAGTCAGCTTACTGAAAACTATCAGTTATGCGAAGGCATGTTCTACAGCTGTTATCACTTATCAGCTAGTAAGCACATATGTCATGTCACAATAAGGATATACAATAAGGTTTTCG